TGTCACTGGTTGTCCGAGGCTTTGTTGATACCGTTCCCTACAACCCTGCAAACACTCGATCGAGTTCGAAAATATGCCCTCACTGTCTTCAGGATGGGCGGGTCCAACACAAGCGAGAGCAGCGCCGAACTGCTGGCCAGTATATACGTACTCAACCAGTCCCAGCGGCCTTGTTCTGTGATGGAGTTCTTAACTATACCGAATGAGTCATCGGCAAATGAGTTGGCGGCGAACGAGTCGGCGGCGAACGAGTCGGCGGCTACCGAGTCGGCGGCTACCGAGTTGGCGGCGAACGAGTTGGCGGCGAACGAGTCGGCGGCGAACGAGTCTGCGGCGAACGAGTCGGCGGCGAACGACTCGTCTATGCTGCTGCTGATGTTGAGTCATCTGTCTAAACTGGATGGGTCGTATGGCGCCGCCGAGGCGACGCGATTAGTGGGCATGCTGGCGGGTAGTACTGCTGCGGCGACCGTGGAGCAGGAGCTGACTAAAATAAGGGTCATCAGGAATCTGTTGCCGAAAACGGAGCTGGCCCCGCTCGACGTGCTTGGACAGTTCATGAATTCAAGAACGACTCGCATTGCGGCCTACGCAGGTGAGTGCCTTTATGAGCTTCAGCCATTCCACCGAGAGTACATCGACCAGTCATTAATTGCTCGTCCGGACAGCGCGGGAATGGTTGCATTTTATTCGTATGTGAAAGTTCCCCGATCAAGTTTGGTCGTGAACTACCTCAGTGGAGACGACCACCGCCTCGTAGAAGTGTGGTTGCAAGGACTGGCCTACCAAGACGCCATATATCCCCAAAAGGCGGCAACGGTTCATCGCGTCGTCCTGACCAGTCTTTGGCTTCTTGCGCGATTTCTGCAAGACAGCCACCCCCAGCCAGTCCTTTTGCAGCCTTTACTGAGGCAAGCCATCGCGCTAGCTATCTGGCACGACGACGGCAGTGTCAGAGCTCTGGCCCACGCAGTCGTGCAAGAAATGATAGGCCGAGGGAACTTCCATGACGAAGGTCGTGGCGCCATTCTCAAACTCATCCCCATGCAAGCTGACACTAGCGGAGCTGACACTAGCGGAGCTGACACTAGCAGCGACAGCATGCACGAAGCATCGGAGATTCTGGCCAGGCGTTTCGCACGGCTGGTCGAGCACAGCGTCTTCGGCTTTGAGGCCTGCGTCGTGGGTGGCATCGAGATGCTTCTCACTACCCGACCCAATAAGTGTTTCCCGCGGCATGCTACCACACTCCGGAGGCTGCTGAGTCAAGCGGTGTCGCGGTACCCACAAGACGTGTCAGCCGTTGTCCACCATTTCACGCGGCGGCTCCTGCACGATGACAACATCAGAATGCTTCTTAAAATTCAGAACCAAATCAGTCTTCAACGGCTTGTCCTTCTATGCTCAGTAACCAACCTCCACCGCACATGTTCACATTGTCCACCGGCCTACACATCGTCCACCGTTAGTTGATAACCGTGGAGGGAGTGAAATATGACGAAGAGGTGAGCAATCTGGTTATCCTCTTCTGTGAGGCGCAGGTGCAAAAACTCAAAAACGAAAAGACGCGTTGCCGGCGCCGTGGTCCGGGAGTCATGGGCTGTGACGACATTGAAGACGTTGAACCATGTGTTAGACTGCTTGGCTGTGTCGATGACATGCTAAGTCGGAATTCGCCGAACAGGGAGTGCACGACCTTGGACTTAGAAGAACCGACCTTGGCGGCGGCGGGAAAACGCCTCGTGCGTTGCAAGGTTGAGTTTGTCACAGAGGTGCTAAAGCAGCACAAATGTCCGTTAAGTAATTTCCTCATTAGTGAAATTTGTATGCAGCCCGTCCAGTTGCCTGCCTCGGCAGCCTGGCGGGTGACGGCCGAGTATTTAAGGAAGGCGAGAAACGTTCCGACCTCACAACTGGATAAAGTAGTCCTCGGGACGCTGTGGTCTGCATGCGCGGATCTGAAGGCAGGTCGCTTGCCAGCACCGGAGTTGTGGACTGCGTATTACGACCTTCTCCTGGATCACCTGCCTGTCAAACTTCTGCAATGCTCAGTGCCTCTCTGCTTGACGGTGTCCTACGTGCTACTGGTTCGTCTACTGGCCTACGCTCACAGCCGAAACGAGTCCGCTCGGAGTAACGACCGACTAAGTCGTGCTAATGAAGCTAATCAAGAACACGGCTTTACGACGAAGGACGACGGGTTTGCGACGAAGGACGACACCTTTGCGACCAAGGACGCAGTCGACTCCTGCCAGGGTTTCCAAGAAAAGTGTGCACGTGTGTTGGCTGTAGCTGCAATGCACCCGCTGGACCCCGTTCGGGCGGCGGCCGCAATGCGAATCGACTGCTACGAGGATCTAGCCTGGATCATCCGCACACGGCAACTCAACTCCGGTACCGGTCTGGGCTCTAACTCCTGGTTCCAGAGATGCTACTGGGACCTGACCACCTACAAGATGAAATCACCTTCATCACCTACATTCTACTTGGTCGGGCCAACACCGCCGCTGGTTGTGCCTGCTTCCATACAGCGACTCGGACAACTAGAGCCTCTGGTCCGTCTACTCGGATGTAATGCCACCCCTGAGATACAGGACCAAATTCTGACGAGTTTATGCGACTATTTTCTCACTCGCATTCCTTCGGCACATCCTTCGCCAAACCAAGCTGAGCCTCCGCCCACCCTTTCATCAGACGAGACTGTCCTTCTTTCCGTCCATGATTTAGTCCAGACCTTGCTCCAACCGAACCAGCAATTGAATTGGACCACACGCGGCCGTCAGCTGCTCTCTTTGGTGGCGTCGGCGTACCAGCAGAACACAATTCCCCTATCTCTGTGCGAGAATGTGAAGGCCCAGAAGGTTGCTTTGTCTTGGGGCTTGCTTTAGAAGACTAAGCAAAGCAGCAACCCGTGGGGTGCTTAGGTGTGCTATGGCTCGAGGCTGCACACGACCCGGCTATCCCAGAAAGCCCTTTGCTTTTTTGGGGTGTTAGCACGGGTCACGGAGGTGAATCGATCGACGGATTGACGAATTTCATTCGCAGGCATCAATCCCGTCGAGGAGGAGTGGTGGACCACACTCAGGCTCCCGCCATAGCGGCGCGGCAGAATATGTCCCACGCTGAGAAAAAGTGAGTTCTGGCTGCTCAGAGGGCACGAAGCCGTGCCCGGCGATCGTTTTTTTTTAAAAAACCATGAGCGGGAGGACTGCGATCGTTGTGGCATGTGAGTCGGAGTTGAGTCCGTTGAAAGCTGGCATGACCAACGTCACGAGCCGGACGTTGGGCGGCAAGGAGTTCTTTTGCGGGCAGTTGGAGGGCTGCGACGTCGTGCTAGTGCAGTGTGGCGTTGGAAGAACCAACGCCGCGGCCACCACGGCCGTTGCCTGTGCAGAGTTTAAACCGCAGCGAGTCATCAACTCTGGATCTGCCGGCGGCTTGGCGACGGGTTTAAAAATAGGCGACGTGGTAGTTAGTGATAGACTGGTATATGGAGATGTAGATAATCGCTGTTTCGGCCTTAAGTACGGCCAGGTTCCGGATGACTTGGAGGAGTTCCATCCGTCACAAGACCTCCTGGCTGCATTTCACTCCATCTGCGAGAAGCAGCTGGAGGAGCATGGCATCCGCGTGCACCAAGGGTTGATTGTTACGGTAGAATCTTTTTGTGAATCTGAAGTAGTGAAGAAGAATTTCTTCAACTATTGGCCCGAAGCAAAAGCGGTAGAAATGGAAGGGTGCGCAGTGGCGCATGTGTGCCAACAATTTAAGGTCCCAGCCATCGTGGTTCGGTCAATTTCGGATACGGCAGAAGATCACATTGACTACCACACATTCGCCAAACTCGCAGGAGAGAGATCGGCACAAGTTACGAGAGCTTTTCTCAAGACCTTAATATAAACTTCTCTATTATTTTTTGATTCTGCCTTGCTCATCATAATAGAGACTGATATCGATAGAGTTATTGACCATGCACTGCCATATAATAGATTCGATGGCACATCTTCCTCTTGCCTTTTCTGTAACAGATCGAAGTTGATAATCTGCGAAGCTACGTTGGATGTATGTTGGTTTTATACCGATTGCATCTAATGGGACTTGATACTTTGTTTTGGGTTTGTTCTCGATGAATTCTATGATGTACTTTTCATGACCAAATAACATATTAGGGACACGTCGTCCAAAACTGAAACTTCGAAACCCCCCTCCTACCCCTTCTGCTCCGTCTTTTTGTATCAGAGGAGGAATCGTAGATTGTGTCAGGAGTTTATTAATAGTTGTGATAGGTGACTTAATAAGATCCGAATAGTATACAGGAACAGCAAAATGTCTTGGTGGTTGTAGCCTGGGGTGCTCATTTAAGAACATGAGAGCAATTTCATCTTCAATGGTAATAAGATTATGATAAGATAATTTAATAAAATTTATAAATATTTTATATAATTTAATTAAATTATTATCAATTTCATGGTCCACCATAGTATTCATAGTACTATATATTGCACTGCCAATACGTCGATGAATTATGATAGGTATAATATTATAACCAACACCATAGCCAACACCATAGCCAACACCATAGCCAACATCATAGCCAACACCATAGCCAACACCATAGCCAACACCATAGCCAATATTATAATTATATAAATTTATTAATATTTTTATGTTATATAAATTATATTTATAATTAAATAAATATATTTTACTAATATTATTTTGTAGAATCAAATGCTTATGAAATCGAATTTGTATGGTAGTTATATTCTTCATAATGTCATCATTTAGTATCTCGTTGTATACAAATTCTGAATAGTCCAAAAGTCTATATCGTAAACCCAGATCAGGACATCTTCCTAATAGACTATAACATGTCAAATTATTATAAGTACTTGGATATTTACGAATAGTATTCAACACCTGGGAATAGATATTGTATTGCTTATGAGTAGAGTACATGCGAACATTAGAATAGTAATTCTCCGATTCTAATAATGATATTAAACATGCATAATCATTAATCCGTGGATCCACTAAACTTGATGTAAACTTTGATGACCTATAATTATTACCATATAGGTTACATATCAGATAATCATGCACCACATCCACCTCATCTATCACACTTAAAGCAGTAGCTAATTCTTCACTCCCTGATACACCAAAACATAACAAAACTCGAACAGATAATTTGTTGGTTCTTGGCGTTATGGGTGACGTTTCTTGTCGTATCATATTGAGAACTGTAAATAAGGATAAATGACATAGTCGCTCTATATATAATATAGCTAATGGAGATAATTTCTGATGATATGAAACATGTATCAATCTATTCCATCCATTACACATTGTCATATACAAATTAGTATTAGAACATATACATCCATCATTACCACCACATACGCAACTACTATTTAATTCGTTCTTGTTCAATTCTAGTTCTCTAATAATTACATCCAATGTACGATCTTCATAATATCGGGATGGCAAGTCTAAAAGTCCACGACCCAATAATGAAAGAGTTAACGATACCAAGCATTCACCTCCAATATTCTTTATTACATCTTCCTTTGGGGCTACCATCCCGCTAACCATTCCATTCATCCATGATAGCATGCGATTGTTGTCATGATGAACAAGTAATTCTGGATGGGCTAGCAATAACCAATCAAGGTCAGTCCGTGAATTGACAACTGAAATTCGTGTATTGTCATCAACAACGTCCAGTAGGTCCAATGCGAACTCCACGGCACGCTTCTGTACTCTACTCACTCCATTGCCGAGCTCCTGAAGTCTAGTGACAAATTCGACACGATTTATGATCGGCAATATTATACCTAACTTCATAAACGCGTCTTGAACGTCTGGCAAATCATAGCATAATCTCGACGTGCCATGTATGGGTAAGATATCATAGTCCTTCTTTAATAACAAATGGTATATCCGATGATTATGGCGCATACTTAGGGGCACAGCGAATCTCATTACCGGCTCCATGGCATGAAAGGTTGCCATAATAACGTCATCAGATATGAAGCCAGGCAAACAATTTACGGACATGCACAGCGACAGTAAAGACCACAAACCGTGTCTACGGGATATACAAGAGCCAAGGACATCACCCGGAATTCGAATCATGCACACATCGTAACCGTGCGTTTCAAAAGCATACATCAAGAGGGCCTCACTCACCAGATCCACCCAGCACAACAAAGGAAATACACTCTGCTGATGGGCCACGTCACTGCGAAACGACTGTTTCTTCGAAAACGAAAAATTTTGTTCCATCATCGGTAGAGATCTCGGGGAAGTAGGAACCTCCGTGCTTCTTTCAGAACTACTCGTATGAGGTGTCGGGCCTCTGTCTGGAGTAACACATTCCTGCAATGACGCTGTTTCCATGATGTCTTCTTCGCATGGGAAATACAGGCGTTCAAACTCTTGCAATGAGTCGATGTCTAAATAATCTCCTTCTAAGATAATACCATGACCTCCGCGAAACTTTTTAGTGATCAGATGTGAAGTCAGATGACTGAAGCTAGTGATGCACTTCCGATGGTACATGTTACATAGTTTGAATACATTCTGGTACATGCCATGGAGCCTCCTATCAATGACCGGCTTCAGAGTGTCGTAATCATCTACAGTTGGGACAATGTGGCCAGGTGAACATTTACACTTGCCAGGACACTTGCCAGAAGGGCAAGTACTGTTTGAGTGTAGATCGGAGCCATTCTCTGAAACGGGTTCTATGGGTAAGTTTTCGAGGCATGAGTAGGTGATATAAATGTGAGTAACTCGTTGTCCCAAATGATCCCACCAGGACATACCCTTTGTACTGCCAACTCCAAGATCACTCTCCCACACATTTCCTTGAAGATATATAACCTTGTCACTCGCTGGCAAACGGTCCTTCAAAGTCAAAGGACCGATGCAGTATACCTTCTCAAACCTTTGGCACAATTCGCGAACCAGTGCCCGACCCCGGGGACTGCCGGATCCAAGTACCAAAGCTTCCAGCGCCGCCTTACGTGGGAGGGCCAAGTTAGAAGACATTGGAATGATGCAGTGCTGTTTTACCGCATGCAGCAGAGAGAAGCGGCAGTTGGTAGGAGCAAAATACCTGATCCACTCATCGTCATCTAAAACCGAGAGTTTTTTGGTCTCGCACAGTCCTCGTGCCCTCAGCCCTCGATGTAGAACCACAGGGTCGCTGGAGGTAGACGAGTCGTCTTCATCTGTCGCGGATACGTCTGAAGCCAGCCAGGTCCCTCTGCGCACACCCAAGTCGGCGGCATGCTGCACCGCAGTCGCACTGCTGCTGCTGTTGTCGACCTCATCGTCTTCGTCAATGTCCAATGTTTCATGCTCCACCTTCGATGCTTCATGCTCCTTCAAATTCAGTTCATCAGAAAACATTTTTCTTTTAGTAAGACCCCGCAGCCACTACCTGCATTACGCAACCTATACACTGCTACCTGCACACTGCTACCTATACACTGTTACCTGTACACTGTTACCTGCACACTAAATCGGTCTGAACCAACCAATTAATTCAGCTGGTTAATTCAGTTGGTGGAAGCAGATAACAGTACTTGATGTCTTTAGTGAAAACATTCCATACATCAGAGGGGGTGTTTGAAGCGGGTCCATCGGATGTGCTGGGTAAGGGCACGTATGGCACGGTGTTCCGGGTACGAAAGCGAGATGACCCTTCGGAGCGTCGCGCGATCAAGATTTTCATGCCGGAGACTTTGGATGAGAACGAGGGTGTGCCCAGTACGACTTTGAGAGAGGTGAATGCTGTGAAGTCTGTGGACCATCCAAACGTGATAAGTGTAAAGGAGGTTGTGATGCCGGCCAACGGTTCTCTGACGGAGATGTTTGTGGTGATGGAGTTATGTAGGGGCACCCTGAGAGACAAAGTACAGGAACTGGTGAAGAAACACCTGAGTAATGAGACGAAGTGGGTACGTCCCTTGGAGTACAGAAACAGTGGTCATCATAGTGCGGCGGGCAGTAATTTGACCGACGTACGGTTACCTTTGGAGTATGTGAAGGAGGCCAAAATAATATCCTGGCAAATACTGAACGCCGTGGCTGTATGTCACTCTCGCGGTATCATGCATCGGGACCTTAAGCCTGCCAACATACTCTGGTCTGACGATGATTTATTAAAAGTGGCAGACTTTGGACTCGCACGTTTCGTACGCGGAAGACCTACCTCAGACGACCATGTAGTCCCACAAACTGGAGAGGTGCAGACCATGTGGTATCGGGCCCCGGAAGTTCTATTAGGAGATGAGAACTACGGCTTGCTGGTGGATGATTGGAGCATAGGCTGTGTTATTGCCGAATTATTCAAATTCAGAATTTCAGTCAGCAATAAGCGAATAGAGCCTGAGCCTTTATTCTCGGGTCGTGGTGATGTACATACCCTCCTACTAATATTTGAGGCCCTAGGTACCTCACCGGTTATTACAACCAATCCTACCGTTAGTACATCAGAATCCTATCTTCGCACTTTGCCCTTTTGGAGTGATTTCTTTCCCCAATGGACTAACGGTAATTTAAGACAAAAATTATGTCTACTAGATGATCTTGGATATGACCTGGTAACCAGACTACTTACAATCAACCCACAAAAGAGAACTGCCTGCAGATATCTATTAAGCCATCCCTGGTTCGAAGATGTCAAGACTGACCTTAAACGATTTGAGCCTTGGTACAAAGCTTTTCAGCATGATATAATCCGAATGCTCGAAATTGATAGACTACCACCCGCTAGGCCCCTGGAGGAAGTCACAACCACGGATGGACCCGATGCTGCCGCTGCTAGACGGAAACGGGGAAAGGAGAATGTACAGAATGTCAATAAACGAAAATAGATGACTACAAGCGAAGAATGCTTGTTTTTAGATGGTATGCTCGGGTCAAAAGAAAAATAACTTATTTGAAATGAGCAGCACCGCAGACCCCTGGGGCTGGCTGCTCACACCCGACGGTGCGCGGTTGTTACATCTCCAAAGAGGAAGGCGCAAATAAACAATCCCGGATGAGTGTGACCACACGCGTGTGCTATGACAGAGCACGAGTCAATGGTGCCCCCTCCGGGGTATACCTTCATATTTTCGTCGCAAGCTTGCGACGTTGTGGGTTGCTTTGAGTGCATCAAAATCCATTGCGACAAATGCGACATGAAGGACAGACTTAATCTGGAGCTGGAAAGAAAGAATCGAGAACTGGTGAAGTACATTGAGAAGCTTCAACATCGACTCTTGGACCATCCAGCTGAAAGTCCATTGGAGTTCGGCTCAGGGCAGTACGGGTTTAGTTACGCAGGCACTGGCCAACTGGGGTCGGTCGGCTCAACAAAGGAAGGAAAAATAGGGAAGGTAGTTGAAGGGACGCCACCGCAGATCGAGTTGGATCGGGCTTTCGCGTACATCAAAAGTCCTGTGCTATTCGATCCCAATTTGAATCGCATGTACACTGCTCTAACGCTGTTTATTCCGGCTGACGTGTGATTCCCTTTTAGCTAGCAACAGCACTTGATAATCACTGATACCTTTGCTTTCCGAAGGGCTTTGCCTTGACCCGCGTCGCCTTGACCGGCGTGTGATCTTTCCTGACTGACTCTTCGCATCGGTTCAGGAACGGAACCTGGTGGTACTGACCACGGGTGATTGTGCCAACTCCGTACCTCCGATAGCGTGTGCTGCTCCAATAACGGGCGTTCCCGGCGCTCCTCAAACAACGAAAAACCTCCCCTCGAAACGTCCGAAGATACTGACTCGAAATCTTCACCGGAAGAAAAAGACATCAAAAATCCAAAAGAAGGAAGGCGTTGTTCCTGCTCCGTGGGCGAACCTCCTGTCCCACGATCCAGGTGTGACGACTGTGACCTGCAGTTTGTGCTGTCACCAGCGCTTCAGGAACCACCATAAACACATCGTCGCCGCTCTGACAAAATTCGGTTCTGGAAGGGCTATTGCGAGGTGCCACAGCAGACGCCTTTCTCGCCAATAGAATCTCATTCGCAATGTCCGCAGCGATGTCGTCTTCCTTGACCCCTCTTTCCGTGGTTGTGGTGTATTGACCCTCCGCCGTCTCAACAAAAACTGCCTTCAGCGAGACCGCGTCGTGGGTCCCTACACTGTCCATGTGCAACTGGATCCTGTCCAAAGCCGAGCTGCGGCCGTCTTCCGATTTAGAATCTTCCTCCACAGAGCCTTCCTCCGTAGATGTGAAAAACGCGTCAAGCCGATCCACGACCGCAGATGGACAGTTACCCGGAGCTGACGTGACAGTGCTAATCGGTATATCTTGGATCGAAGCCCAGGCCGAATCGCCGGATCGCGCCCAAGTAGCGTTCTGGAAGAGGAGCACAAGACGGCCTGACGGCTGGTCGCGGAACAAGGCCTTGTTCGGTAACGGGACGGAGATGACGGTTTTGTCCATCACGCAACAATACTCGTAGGACAGCAGGAGCTGAGCAGAAGGCAGGCCCCCCACAAATCCGCAGTCAGGCAGGGAGGCCCCGAGCGGGGAGGCGTCTTGTTGCGGGCTCCCGCTTGGGGCGGACCCAAACAGGCTCGCAAAGCCAGTCCAGAAAACCAATCCAGTTTGTATCAAAAACATATGAGCCCCATCATGGTGGTGGTCGCGTGCATTACCGCGGTCCTGGGGACATCATGGGGTCGTACCGGGGGCTTTGGAGGGCGCTGGGCGAGAGGGGTGCCGTGGGTTCGGCGGCGAGGCTGGTGACGAGTCCGATGGGAGAGTAGGCTTGCGCGGTGGGGGAGTAGGCGCCTGGTGACTGGGGGTTAAGGGCACCCATTCCGAAGGCGGGAGAGGAGGGTGAGTAGACAGGGGAGGCGACGACGCGCGAAAAGTTTGGAGAGGTGGGGTTTGCGAGCGGGCTCATCATGGTGGGACTCATGACGGGGCTGAGCATGTTGGAGGGGCTCATAAGGGAAGGACTGGCGACGGAGTAGGACGGGGACATGGGGGAGGTAGGACTGTAGGTGGGTGAGGTGGGACTGTAGGTCGGAGAGGTAGGACTGTATGTCGGAGAGGTGGGACTGTATGTAGGTGAGGTAGGACTGTATGTAGGTGAGGAGGGACTGTACAGAGGCGAAGTGGGCGAAGCAATCGTGGGTGAGGTGGCCATGAACGTGGGCGAGCTGAATGTAGGGGAGTTGAAAGCTGAGGGCGACGCGATAGAGGGCGAGTACCGTCCCGGGCTGCCCGGCGACATGAAACCTGCCGGACTCATGGGGCTCGTGATCATGGGACTGTTGAAGGCTTGCTGCGTGGGCGAGAAGACCGACTGTAGCGGCGAGGTGGGCGAGAGGTGCTGCGAGGGGCTCATGACAGGCGACTGTAGCGACGGCGAGAAGGGCGAGAAGGGAGCCGACGTGAACTCGCCGAAAGACGCAGGCTGCTCGGAAGCTGATTTGTAACCGTCGGCTCCGGCACCGGGTCCTTCTTCGAAGCGCGTGGAGGGGTCTTTCAAACGGGTGTCGTCCATAAGGATGTCGCACATGCCCGTACCGAACTGCGCCATCTGGCCCACCAAAACGTTCTCCGTAATACCACGCAGATAATCGGCCTCACCAAAACACGCCGCCTGCATCAAGATCTCCACCGTCTCCTCAAAGGAACATTTTGCAATGCATCCTTTTTCAACGCGGTTGATGCCGTTTCTGGTAATAGGCATTAGTGCTCCGCGTTGCGTCATCACGTCGCACAGAATGGCCAGGTGTCTGTAGTTGACGTAGCTGCCGTCGAAAGAAATGACTGCTCGGATCTCGCGCATCAGCATCTTGCGTGCAGCCTCCACGCCGAGAGTGTCCAGTACCTCGACAATGCTGTTGCTCGTCGTGCGGGCAAACTCCACCTCGTCAACGACCAATACTTGCGCCAAGTTGCAGCCGTCTGTATCCAGCACCCACTTGCCCGACGCCAGAGGGAATCGACCCGTGGCGGGGTCGAACTGTGCAGATTTCTCTTCCCGCATATAAACCTTGACGATGTTCGGAATCCCTCGAATCGACAACTGACTCAACCCGTGGCAGGCAAACGCTTGCAGGAATTTCAACTCGTCTACGCCGCCGGAAGCGTCATCGTCGTGCTTTTCCCAGGGTTGCTGTTTTATGCGAATCCGCAATATCAATTCTTCGTTGTTGTCGTCTGTCCAGATTACGTCCAGCTCATCGCTTTTGTACTCTTGTTGGATCTTTTTGCCGATTTCGCGCATTGTCAAGCCTTCAGTGATGAGCCGCTCGAGCAGCTGTACCCGCAGCGTCCATCTCCCTAACTTTGATAAATCCTGTTCCTCTTCTCCCGGGAACTCGTAAAAGTCCGTGACCCAGTCCCGGTCTCGTGCCACGACGGTGTTCAGAGGGTCCGGATCGTACACAACTTGCAAAGCAGCAACTACCTTTTCCAGCGTCGAGTACTCCAATTTCGATTGCACTTCCTTTGCTAACGCGGAATCCCGTGCTGCCGGATCTTTCAAGTACACAGTTAGCGACGGCGTTTTAACCGTCTTCGCCACGTTAATTAACTCTCTAAGTCGAGGGACACCAAGCGTCACGTTCTTGCTACCCACACCGGCGAAGTGAAACGTGTTCAGCGTCATTTGCGTGGCCGGCTCCCCAATCGATTGCGCAGCCAACGCACCCACCACTTCACCAGGGGCCGCCAAAGCCTTCTGGAACTGTCTGGCAATTTCTTTCAACAACCAATCTAATCCCAGTGGTCCCAGCTTGTCTTTTTCTATTAGCTTTCTTGAGTTCAGCTGAGTTCTGCAATGGATAGCGAACAATGTAGTGGCGTTAATCTGAGCCTCTTTGAATATGCTGCTGGAACTTGTTCGATTCTTCAGTGTCGGTGTGTTAGTCGCAGTGGTGCTCGGACTCCCGGTAGCATTGTTAGTGAAGTATGTGGTGGACGATGGCGAGACAGACGATGGTGCATTAAACACCACAACGTCGTTGAGAATCAGCGAATCGACTGCTTGTATTATATCTACGGGGCTAACGGTACTGTTATCGTCTTGGACGAATTTCGCCTGCGCAATTTGCACAAGGCGAGGAATGTTAACGGGCAAATGCTGCTTAGCTTCCCCGTCTGAGAAAATTTCAGTACATAAGCGTCTATGTCCTTGTATTAACTGTTGCCATTCACTCACCAATATTGTCTGCTTCTCCACGCTGTACATGAGTTCATCCCGTATGCTCTTACTCTTCAACCATCCTTCGCCGTATGAGGTAGACCTGAAATCATGCTTATAACGTTTTTCGATTTTTTCGTGATCCAATAGAAGCAAGTCAAGAAATTGATCTTCAATGTACTCTCCGGCCATACCATCTTCACCGTATAAAAATTGGACAATCTCACCGTTAGAATTCCGCACGGTCCGGTCATATGCGACTAGCACATCTTCCATTGCTTTCACCAGTCTTCGTTGGATATATCCGGTTTCGCTTGTTTTGCAGGCAGTGTCAATGATACCTTCTCGACCACCCATAGCGTGGAAGAATAGCTCGTGGGGTGTTAAACCTGAGAGGTAAGAGTTGTAAACAAATCCACGACTATCCGGGCCGTAGTCATGCTTCAAAAAATGAGGCAGTGATCGATCTTGAAAACCAAAGGGGATTCTTTTACCTTCGACGTTCTGTTGTCCGACACAGGCCATAATTTGGGAAATGTTGATAGTACTACCCTTGGAACCTGATTCTACCATAGCTATAATGTTGTTCTTGCTGGTTAACTGTTCAGATGCGATTTTTCCTGAAGCTTCACGAGCCTGATTTAGTTCTTGGTTAACACGATTTTCGAACGATTCAAGTAAAGATTTACCTGGTTGGGTCTCGAGTCGTCCGTTGCGTGCTAATTCAATGAGCTCATCGACTTTGTCGTAGCTTCCACGGAGGGCGTCCCTCACTTTATCTGCGGTCACCTTATCAGCAACTATATCTGACACGCCGACGGTGAAGCCTTGACTAACCAGCCAATTGTTGACCGCCTTCTGGAACGAACTCAGCACTTCTTTTGTCTTTTCCGGCCCGCATTGGTGCCACAACACATGAACTATGGAACCACCGCTAGTACCTGCGACTCTCTTGCATATCACTCCAGCCAGATGTTCACTGTTTCGTATAATCACTCGTCCATCATTGATGCTCATGTTGGGGTCAGGGTCATCACGACCTGGAAGCCGGATTGCACCATCACGAGTTATTGTTAGATAATTATGTCCCTTCATGCCACCTATCAAGATCAAAGTAATAATCTGTTTACCCGTCCATAACTTCTGAGGCTTCCATATCACAGGAGGTGGAACAATACCATCCCACTCATTAATCCAGATACATATCGTCATGATAAAATCTTCAGTTAAAAATGTATCGCGACTTGTCATCTTAGCTATACCTAGCAAAGAATCTTGTACGATACCCATCACTGGCTTATTTCCTTGCGGTGATACTATTTGACGGGGTACTAAACACAAATGTTTTATCTCTGCTCTTGTTTCATGACTTTGTGCTAAATGCATATTCATCTCGTCCCCATCAAAATCTGCGTTATAAGGAGCAGTTACACTTAAGTTACATCGGAATGTACTCCATGGCAAAACTTTCACGCGATGACCCATGATACTCATTTTATGCAATGAAGGCTGACGGTTGAATAAGACATAATCCCCATCTCGAACGTGCCGCTCCACCTTATATCCGGGCTCCAATTGTAGCACTGCAGGGTTACCCGCACAATGACGTAGGTCAAATCTAGTTCCGTCCGTTCGGGTAATGTACCGAGCCCCCGGCCATACACTTGGGCCATTCGAAACTGCCTTGCGCAACATTTCCAGATTCATGCTCGTTACTAACTCGGGATATGTCAAGTTCATTGCAATCGATCGGGGCACTCCCACTTGGTCAATTTGTAAATTAGGATCTCCGGTGATCACAGTACGGGCGGAGAAGTCCACTCTCTTGCCCATCAGGTTTCCACGCAGCCGGCCCTCTTTCCCCTTCAGTCGTTCTCGGATAGATTTCATAGGCTTTTTGCTCTTTGTGGTGGCCACCGGCAAGCCGGGAATTTCATTATTCATGAAGGTCGCCACATGGTACTGTAGTACAGCCACTGTTTCCTGAACCACGTGTTGTGCTACGCCAGTCGACTCGTACTTTTGCAGCTGTCGATTGACTTTTACTATATCCAGAAGTTTTATCGTTAAATCGTCTTCTGACCTATCACTTCCAAATTGAACATAAGGACGAACACAGGGTGGTATAACCAACATTGATTGAATTACCATCCATGATGGCCTGGCGAATGTTATGTCAAATCCCATCAACTTCATGTCATGTTCACTTATTTTACTGAATACGGCTAGAACCTCTTCTGCGCTAAAGACTCTTTTTGTATCACCAATTTGATCATCACCACCATTCTCTCTACCCGACTCGTCCCCACCGCCTCCCGCCGCCGCCGCAGCACCAAAATCAACCAGTATGTTTACATTATCCTTGCGATATTGGGGCTGCAGACAGCCACACCCTCCTTCAGGACCTGGCTCACAAGAGGGCTTAGTCCGGCAGAGGGTCAAAAGTTTGGCGAGTCGAGCTCTCGGACCACGAATACGCATCACTGACAGAAATCTCGCATCATCTTGAGAGACAAGTAGTTTCCCACATGAGTAACAAACGCAACGCAAAACAGTGATCACGGCTGGTAAAAAACCTATATTAAACACTGGCTTCACGAACTCTATGTGGCCGAAATGACCAGGGCATGCTCGGCAATCCATATGACAGGTCTGACACGGAACCCGATAATCAGATGTTCCCATCAAAGGGTCGTTCAAACCCCCAGCTTTCGCAACTCCATTTTCGTACAGCTCCGTTTCTGTGATTTCACAAACCGATAGACGTCTCTGCCGACGACGAGAGTCTATGAACCACGAGTCTCTCTTACTATATGATCAGGGTCGAACATGCCCAGCACAATCTTGTAAATCCTCTTCATCTCACACGAGGAGAACGGCGAGTTCAAGTCCGTCAGGGTCGTCATCGCTTTTCGCCCACGAAAATCCAGCCACTCCTGGTGGCATACTTCGCGCGTTGGGAAGGACCGTGTGAATGTTCGTACATTAAGTTGTTATCGCTACGACGTGCCCAGGTGTTGAGTGGAAGGCACTGTGAGGTGGAGTACGTCTACCTGTGAGATGGCGTACCGGAAGAAAAGCACGTCCACGGATACCGTGGAATTCTTCCCGCCTGCGGAGCCCAATGAATTGGAGCGCCGGGGGTTGCCGCCAATATAACTCGATCCCCCGAAAAACGTAGCCTTGTGGCGTTGTGTCAGAGAGAGCGTGCTGGCATGGGCTAATGTACATATCTGCCGGATTAAGGGCAGGCGGCAAAAATCTACAGCTGCCAGAGGCTCAATGCTCCCTGCAATGCTTAACGAGCTTGCGTGTCCCCGACGGCGCGAGAGTCGTGGTGGTGTGTCGTGAGTTGTCAGCGGAAGTTTGGAGGATGACGTGCGGATGCCTCGGATTTCGTTCCTGCTGCCTTCTCGCTGAGCTGAGACGTACACAAAACGAGCAGTTCGCAACTGTGCCTGTATGCGTGTTAGCCGGATCAGGCGAAGAGTGACGGGGCAGTTGACCAGGCTACAGAACCTTTGGGACAGCGGCAGCGAGATGTGCCCACGGTCACAATCCCTCCACTCAGGAGCTCTTCACGTGCCTTATTAGCCTTGATCAAACGCAGGCACACGAGAGCTCCTGAATGGAGGAATTGCTACTGGCTAACGCTGTCATGAGGTGTCTCGTATGAAAGATTCCTCACCCGGTGGTCGATTCGTGTCAGGGAGTCAGCTGGGGTTCTCGCTTCGCTTCAACATCCTAATTATGAAATTGATCTATCTCCACTTCAGCGTCTCTCCACTTCAGGGTCGACGAATACTACGAGGATGTCTCCTGGTTCCTGGTCGGTCGGTGGTTCCTCCTCCAGCGGTCGGTTTCGGAGGGCGGACTCGGCCATGAGCATTTGTTGGCACCTTCTTGCTCCGAGCCCGGTGGAGTCATGTTCTGCACACTTGTCCTGGATGGGGGGGCTTGCCGAAGACTGGCGCGTAGGGGGGAGGGGAGGGGAGGGGAGGGGAGGCTGTTTATCGCGGCGTGGGGCGTTATGTTGCGCAGGCTGATGGTAATGCAGCCATACCTAAGACGGCCTTCATCTGCACCGAAGGCTTGTTTGAATTAGAGGCATGAAGCGACCGGGGTTTGTAAAAGGAACGATCAAGCGTAAGATAAACAGCCCAGTAAATGACCGCGCACACTGATCTGTAGAGATCTATAACAAGATGTCTCCTTTGTTACTGTTGAGACCCAAAAAGAGTGATGTGATTGGTGAAGTGACTGGCCTCAAAATTTTCTATCTCCCTTTTCTATTTCAACGCATGCC